GAAAAGGGCGCTTTTTCCGGAGGATCGGGGCCAGTGTAGACGCTCTTTTCCGGCTTTTTTAAAAGCCGGAAAAAAGCGGCGGACATTTTTATTTAAATGCCGCGGGGGATATTTAAATCCCCCGCGGATTTCCCTACGACGACTAGTGAAATTTACATGCCCCTTCCGGAAAAGGGGCCAGTGTAGACGTAGCCCTGGTGTCAGCCGGGCCAGGCAGCAAATGAGGAACCTCTGCCTCAGATGGGGAACTCACTACAGCAGTGGCAGACAGTGGCCAGGCAGCACCTGGCTGGAGAGCCCCAGGGAACCCACAGTGGCGTTGGTGGCTGGGCAGCCTTGGCTGGGGAACTCCCAGGCGTTATCTGGGCCAGGGAACCTGGGGAATCCCTAGGGGTATATCTACACTACCACCCTAGTTCGAACTGGGGTGGTAGTGTAGACATACCCTAGTTCCCGGGGGGCTGTGGTGGACAGTTGGCCAGAGAATCCCCAGTGGCAGCAGGCTGAGCAGCCCCAGCCAGAGAACTTCCCAGCATCATCAGGGCCAGGCAGGGCTGGGAGCCCTGGCTGGAGAACCCAATCTATGGTGGCATGGGGCTGGGTTGGCCAGGTGGCCCCAGCCAGCGTACCCCTGGTGGCAGTGGGGCTAGGTGGCAAAAGAGAACTATTGGCCAGGGAGCTCTGGGGACTCCCCAGTGGCAGCAGGGTGGGTGGCTTCCGAGCAGGGCTGGCAGTAGCCGGGTGGCCCCAGGAACCCTGGAAAACCCTGGCAGCAGCGGGTCCGGCAGCAGGGTGGGAGCCCCAGCCTTGGGAGCTTGGGAGTGGGCAGCCATTAGGGGAGCATTGACCTCCCTTGGTCCGGCAAACTCCCTGGTTCAGGAAGGATGCTGGACTACAGAGGTCCAACTGGTATGAATCATGTGGTGCTCTGTGCTGTAGTCTCTTAACTATCATATTCCGACTCAACTGGAAACTAAAGCCAGATCTGAGCTAAAAATCTCCATTCACATGTAAAACACGAGTGCATTAACTCGGTTCGTCATCTTTTCCATGAATGCTGCATCACTTTATATGTTTTTTCTTTCATAGTTGCTCAAATCTGGCAATTCTACTTAATGAAAACTCTGACATCACTGGGGAGAGGAGGTTACCTTTCTATTAGGCGCATGAGACCAACACAGACACTTCATTTTTCTCCCACTTCTATATCAAAGCAATTTCTGTTTTATGGGCATTTGAAGATTACAAGGTATTTTTGCTCTAATTTTTGTTTTTCTTCAACCTTCCTTTTTGTGTCTTCCCCGGTCAATGGGGGTACGTCTAAACTACATGGCTCCATCGATGGAGCCATGTAGATTTGTTGTTTTAGCAAAGGCAAATGAAGCCTCAATTTAAATGATCACGGCTTCCTTTATCGCCTCCCCGGTAAACCTCATCCTAAGAGGCATAACGGGGAGGTCGATAAAGGGCTTTCAGGTCGGCGCGGTAGCATCCAGACTAGCACGCTGAGCGGACAAACAGCTAATCAGCTGTTTGTCGGCTCAGCGCGGCAGCCATGTAAATTTAAATGAAGTCGCGATCATTTAAATCGCGGCTTCATTTGCCTTTGCCTATGTGTCTAATCTACATGCCTCTGACGACAGAGGCATGTAGTCTAGACACAGCCTGGGTGTTTACTTTTTCCATTGGTGCAAGTAGGGACTAATTTGTATACTTTGACTCCTATAACTCCTACTAGATAAAGATTGTGTTTGGTCTGTTATTCTTAAATTATATATTCACTGGCAACTAACTGCTGATAGTGAGGGTGCACAATTAAGAGGTTATGGTGGTATGCGACAGGATCCAAGGCAGGTACTCACAAGACTGAAGGCGTTTTGATTTCTAACACTACATTTGATGTCATGCTTTACGATACTATGTAATGGCAGATGGAGACTTCTAAAACATAGAGCTACACATGAAGAAAACTGATTGTATGATTTATACATACATTAAATATCTTAAGAAAGTTCTCCTAATATATGGCTAACATGAAGGCCAATTTGTACATTGCTGGCTCTGATACTTGAGAATCTTAAAAAACAGAGGGCTCACCAAAATTCCTATGCATTCTGTCATTTGCCTCTGCTGTGTGTGCTCACTGTTACCTCAGACTGGAGTGCCAGAATCATCTTGTGAACATGGGCGGCGAGTTGTATGGGCTCGTGCTGCCCAAGCTCCACCAATATTTGGAGCTGGAGCTAATAGGGACTCTACTGTAGTCGGTGCCATTTGGTCCCCATCCCTGCCTGGCCCTGGCCCTGGCCCTGGCCCCGGCCCCGGCCCCGGCCCCGGCCCCGGCCCCAGCCCTGGCCCATCCCTGCCATGTGCAACCTTTACTGAGCTCCCCCTTGCTGGCTGCTGCTGCCATGTGCAGTGTGCTCAAACCGGTGGGTGGGGAGATGCCCGGGCGTGACGTAACGTCATGGCCTGGGATTTTAAAACTGCTGGGCGCTGCGTTGCGCCGTGCTTCTGAATTGTGGGTTCGGAGTCTGGGGATGAAGCGCAGACTCTGGCCCTGCAAAGTGGAAGGCAGAAGGTAGGGGAGGGCTGGGAGAGGAAGGGGCTTGTGGGGACTGGGAGGGGAGAGAGGGAAGAAAGGGGAAGACACCAAAGGGACAGGATAGAGGAGAGACAAATGTCAGAGGGCTAAGTGCAGACAATGAGGAAAAGGGCAGAAGGGGAGGTGTCAGTGGGAGAGGGACAGGGTGATGCGGAGAGGGTAAGGGCATTGGAGACTGGAGGGGGTGGTGCTGGGAGAAGGCTTGATAGAAGGGGTGAGCATGAGGAAGGCAGGGATGGAGCAAATCATATGTAAGGGCACAGAGGGGCATGAGGGAAACAGGGGAAGAGGATGGTGAGGGCATCAGGGAAAAGAGGGCAAAGGGAATAGGGGCAGTGAGGGAAGGGGGAGGCACCAGGAGGGGGCAGGGGTAAGGGAAGGAGGGGGCAGGGGAAGTGAGGGAAGGGGGAGGCACCAGGAGGGTGCAGGGGTAAGAGAAGGTGCAGGTGCCAGGGGATTCTGGAGGGACCAGCACCAGAGGAGAGAGGCAGGGCAGGTTTGTAGAGGGAGGTGTTAGAAGAGGAGATGAAAAGGGGTGGCTCACATGATCAGAGTGGGGCTATTGGAGGAGTGGGCACAAGGGGGAGAGAAGGGCTGGTGGAGGGGGGCAGGTTTCAGGAGGGCTGAGGGCAGTGAGAAGGGCAGGAGTCAGGACAGCAGAGGAGGGTGAGGAGTTGGGGGGGAGGGCAGAAGGCATCAGGGGAGCTGATGGAACAAGGGGAGCTGACATGGCAGCAGAGAGAAAAAGTAAAGGTTTAAAAATATTTATTAATAACTTGGGTGCCACAGTGACACATCCAAACAAGCCACATGAACTCAGTACTGGTGCACAACACAAAATTCATTTTGCTCATGGGAGGAAACTCTTAGGCTATGCCTACACTGGCAGTTTCTTGCGCGAGAACATCTTGCGCAAGAGTTCTTGTACAAGAAGTCTTGTGCAAGAACACATCCACACTGCCATGTGCGAGCTGTGCTTTTGCACAAGAGCATCCATGGCAGTGTGGACGCTCTCTTGCCCATGAAAGCGCCGATGGCCATTTTAGCCATAGGGGTTTCTTGTGCAAGAAATCCCTGCCGAGCATCCACACTGCCCTCTTGCACAAGAGAGCTTACACCTGTTAGAAAAGAGCGTAGCTCTTGTGGAAGACACCCTCTCTTACCATGCCGTACTGTAAATGTCCTTGTGTAAGAGCAGGCGGGCAGTGTGGATGCTCTGTGGGTTCTTGCAAAAGAAAGGCTGTACTTGCACAAAAAGCCATGAGTGTAGACATATCCTTAAAGGGAACACTTCCCCCAGCCTCTCTGCCCCTGAGTTAATGTCACACACATTGGGTTAATGCAATTGCAGGATAGTTGCATGAGGGAGATTTGGTGTGGGCCAAACTAATCCCTATTGGTAGGAGGATGGTGGGAAAAAGCCCTTTGAGAGGGGTGATATGACACCTTTTACTTCTGGTCATGTGTCCATCTTGCCCTGAACGTGTTACCTCCAGAGGCATGGTTAATGGGGAGGAGGGGTCGGGGGCGTGGCTAATGGGGCACCACCAACAATTATACAAACCTGCCACCCATGCTTGTGAATGAATATAACACCAACACAACCCTACCCTTGCATAACATCTATTGCTGCA